ACAGCAAATGTTCCAGTTCTTCATTTACTTGCCGGTTCTTTAGAGCGCTGAGTGTCGATTTTGTGTCACTTGAGTCGGGAAGCATGTTGTCAATTTTAATATACTTATTGTATGACTCACTCCACAAACATTTTAACTCCTCGAGGTCGTTTGATTTAAGGTAATTTCGTAATTTTACTCTTAGAGATTCGGCAAAATGTTTGAGTGATCTAGCATTTAGACCACCTGACTTATATGGGAGCGACATAGTTTCATAACGTTAATAATAATAATAATAACGTTTTTAAATATTGTAAAAATAATATTAATAATATGTAGTTAATTAAATAAATTAATTCGCGCTTCTCGGCTGAGCGCTGATATTAACCTTAACAACCATAATATAAACAATCTTGCCGTTAAAATTTTAAAAACCGCATTTTATATTGTTTAATGTTATTAAATTTATTTTATTGGTTTTCTGTTTTAATTAAATAATTTATATAAATTATTAATTACTTTTTTCTTCTTATCTAATATCTTACTTACCTTATATATAATGCACTGAAGATGAGTTATCTATAACTCAAAATAGCTATTTGCAAAATTATTTAATAAAAATTTTTAAAAAACAATAAAATGTATAATTTTTCTGACATTATTAAATTAAAAAGAAATATAAAAAAAGATGAACAATGTTGAAAGTTGTATTGAACTTTTGAAATATATATATATATATAACCGATTTACGATGCGACGGGTTCAAATCCTCGATTGAATAAAATATTCCAAGCAGTTATTAAACTTTATTTACAGAAGAAATCAACTATTATTAGTTATTAAACTTTATTTATCAACTAATCGTTTATTTCCAGTAAATTCAAACTAACGCAACAATTAACTTTTAAATCGTTCAAAATGTATCGCTATGACAACGTCAACAAACAAATCAAATATCGCTTTTAATAATTCACCGAATCGCTATTCACAAAATCACGAATTTCACTAATCACAAATATCACTAATCACGAATATCACTAATCACGAATATCACTAATCACGAATATCACTAATTACGAATATCACTAATCACGAATTTCTTGCGACGTGCGCTTATATACTCTTCGCAAGCGTCGTTTCTAGATTCTTCCAGATGGTCCGATTCCAGCATACTCTAGAACGTTCCAGTCACTAGAACATTCTAGAATACGCTAGAATCTAGTGCGTTCGGTAGCACGGTTATAACATTACCCCCTTCTTAGTTCTGTTCGTCCCGAACAGCTTTCGTTCCGGTGTCCGCATGGTACGGAGCCAGTCTATCCAAATGAACGATCTTCATTCTTGCTCTCGGCTTCCGATATTCCTGAATACGGTAGACGACGTCATTCAAGCGGGTGATGACTTGATAAGGCCCTTCCCACCCTCGCTGGAGCTTTAGAGAACGTCCTTTCTTCCGCTGTGGGTTGTACAGCCAAACTAACTCGTCGACAGCAAAACCGCCACTGCTTCCTTTCAAGTCGTATCTGGTTTTGGCCGCCTCCGTGTTTTTCATAATTTTAAGGCGTACGTAACGGTAGATATGGTTTAATCGCTGTCGAAGATTATCCACGTATTCTGTTAATGGTTGGTGTGGTTCAGGTGATACGCCATATTTCACATCAGCTGGAGTTCTTAAGGTAGTCCCAAACAGAACTCTTGATGGCGTTTCTCCAGTAGTTGTGTGGATAGCACTCCGGTATGCCATAAGAAACAATGGTATATGACGATCCCAATTCCGTTGATTTTCGTCGACTACTTTAGCCAGATGTTCAAACAGGGTTTGGTTGAATCGTTCCACCATACCGTCAGACTGTGGGTGAAGAGGTGTCGTTCGAGTTTTGTTTATACCCAGCAGCTTGCACATTTCACCAAACAGTTGTGACTCAAAATTTCGACCTTGATCTGAGTGGAGTTCCAATGGGACACCATATCGAATAATCCAATTGAGTACAATTTCCTCAGCGACGGTACATGCTTCTTGGTTGGGTATTGGAAACACCTCAGGCCATTTGCTGAATGTAACGGTTTCCATAATCTGATACCGGAAAGGGTCCAGCAATATCTATAGCAATCCGTTCAAAAGGGACACCAACATTGTAGATTTGCATTGCTCCTTTTAGCCTTCTTTTGGGTCCTTTGACTGAAGCGCATGTGTTACATTTTCGACACCAGCTCTCTACATCTTCTCTAACGTGAAGCCAGTAGAATCCTTCTCGTATTTTGTCAAGGGTCTTGTTCACTCCTAAATGTCCCCCAGAAAGGCCGCCATGCATTTCATCAAGGATTTCGGTCGTTCTACTTCTTGGTATTACAACTTGCATGCGGTGTTTTGATCCATCAGCTGATTCCCATTTTCGTTTCAGCAAATCCCCTTCCAAATACAAAGAGTCGCACTGAGCCCAATAACCCTTTAACACGGCACTATATTCTGAGATGCTTTGCCAGTCCGGTCGCTTGCCCTCCTTCTTCCATGTGATCAGATGTTGTAGGTCCTCATCCGCAAACTGTGCATCAGCAAGATCCGTCGGTGTCCAACCGTCATCCGCTGATATTGTTGTTGCTCTTATGTCTTCCGATTGCATCTTCTCCTCGTGACGACAGCAATATTTGCATCCTGGTAAACATGGTCGACATGAGAGAGCATCAGCATTACTATGAGTTGTTCCTTTGCGGTGCACGATCTCGATGTCGTACATTTGTAAACGCTCCAACCATCGGGCCATCTGTCCTTCAAGATCCTTGAAGTTGAGGAGCCATCTTAACGCTGTATGATCAGTTCGGAGAAGAAATTTCTGTCCATAAAGGTACTTGTGGAAGTGTTTTGTTGCATTGACTATTGCTAGTAACTCCTTCCTGGTCACACAATAGTTTCGTTCGGGCTTTGTGAATCCTCTGCTATAATACGCTAGCACCTTTTCTTCTCCGTCTATATGCTGTGACAAAACGGCTACGATTCCGTTGTTACTTGCATCAGTATCTAACACAAACGTCTTGCCACGAACTGGATATGCTAGCAAAGGAGCATCACATAGTTCAACTTTTAACTCTTCAAATGCTGAGTCGCATAGTGTATTCCAGTTGAAAACTCGGTCTTTCTCGGTAAGTTGGTGGAGAGGTCTGGCAACTTTTGCAAAATCCTTTACAAAACGTCGATAGTACGTTGCCAATCCCAGAAAACTGCGCAATTCATTTTTATCCTTTGGAGTTGGCCAGTCTTTCACAATTTCTATCTTGCTGGGATCGGTTCGAACTCCATCTGAAGATACCACATGTCCCTAATAGTTAACTTCTTTAGAAAATAACCTGCCCTTTTTAACGTTCAGCTTTAAATTTGCCACCCGAAGTCTTGTGAAGATTTCCCGTAAGTTTTCGACGTGTTGATCAAATGTTCTTTCTAGAACAATTATGTCGTCTAAATAGACAAGACAGGTTTTCCAGTTAAGACCTTGCAATACACATTCCATCAGTCGCTCGAATGTAGCTGGAGCGTTGCACAATCCAAATGGCATGACGGTGAATTGCCACAACCCCGATCCGATAGAAAACGCTGTCTTTTCGCGATCGTTCTTGTCGATTTCTACTTGCCAGTATCCGCTTTTCAAATCAAGCGTAGAGAACCAACTTGAGCCAGATAGGGTGTCCATGATGTCATCAATCCTCGGTAACGGATAGCTGTCCTTTTTAGTCACATCATTTAACTTCCTATAATCAACGCAAAAACGGGTAGTGCCGTCCTTCTTTTTTACCAAAACAACTGGCGAAATCCAGGAACTTAATGACGGTTCGATGACGCCTTGATTCTACATTGTCGTTATCATTTCGTTTACTTCTGTTTGTTTTGCTAGAGGAAGACGTCGTGGTACTTGTCGGATCGGTTTCGAATCCTGAGCATCAATTCGGTGAGTTACCAGAGCTGTTTTACCTTGGTCATTGTCACTGGTTGAAAACACGTCTGCAAAATCAGCAATCAACGCCTCGGCTTTTAGACGGTCTTCTTGATACAAATTAAGTTCATCCAGTAGATTTTTGGTAAGTTCTTTGAGTCTACCTTTGTCAGTTGGTAGAACCTTTTCTTGTTGCTCCATATCTAATGATTTTACCAAATTTATTGATTGGCAATTACCTATTTCCTCGCCTTTTTTCATTTTAATAGTGTGTTCAGCGGTATTCATTATTCTGACAGGAATAAGACCATTTTTGTTCGCTTCTATCAGGCATTTTACAATGACCGCATTCTGTACGTTTGTCGTTGAGGTTGGCTCCATCAAATAGAACTGGTGGCCCCCAGGATCGCAATTCAACTTGCCCCATACGATGTTTTCAGATGATTGAGGTAGTTCTATGTCACAATCGATTGTCACTCGAATGCATTTTTCGTCGCTATCCCCCATTATCACTTCTGTATTTCTCCATCTAAGAATGCGTTTTTCTAAGTCAATTTTGAACCCATATTTTGTCAGAAAGTCGACACCTATTATGCATTCGTCGATGATATCCGCGACTAAGAATGAACCTTCGAATAACAAGTCGCCTAGCTGAACAGTACGGAGAATCTTTCCATAAACTGGTGCTGTTCCTCCGGTAGCTGTTCGAAGGATGTATTTGTTAGAAGTTTCTTTCTTCAGATTGGGTACCAAATCAGATCTTAAAATCGATTTTGTTGCTCCGGTGTCGACTGTAATTACACATTCTCGTTGATCAACTTTTCCGTTCAGCCATAGGTCGTTTCGATTTCGATGTAGTCTGGAAACGTTAATTACGGTACTGGGGGCGTCAATTCTACTAGCCAACCTCTGCCCCACAAAGTTGGCTCTTATTAGTTTTCTGCCCCTTCGTTAGAAGGGCCGGAAAAGGGCCGATCGTGATACGGGATCATCTTCTCTTCTTTTGCGCCATCTTGTCGCGCAATATCGGCAGTAGTTATCTTTTAGGCGGTGTTTACAATCACGACGTAGATGGCCTTTTTCACCACAAATCCAGCATTAGGGTACACCATGCTGTTGGGGTTCGCGTTTCACAACCACCTTCTGGCAAGAGCATTCTTCATGTACTTGGCGTAGACGTACGTCACTTTTTGATGCTTGCTTTGCCGATTCAAAAGTGAGACTGTGCGCAACGGCATCCTTGAGTTTTCGTTTATCTGACAAGAGAAGGGATTGCTTGAGTTCCGAATCACGAAGGGCTTTGATAAACGTATCCAGGGCAGTTTCGTCTCTATGCTCGGGGTCTGATGTCGGATACAACAGCAATGTCAACCGTTCAATATCTTGTGCCAGCTGCTGAATGGATTCACCAGATCGTTGCGTTCTGTTTCTAAGCTGAGACCGATAAATCTGTTTCATGTGTTCTTCACCATAACGTAAATCCAACGCGCTAACCAGAACTTCGTAGTTGAAGTGGTTCTCCGCCGGAATCGTCTGAAGAACCTCTGCTGCTGAACCTCACAGGGCCAGTATCATTGCTGTTGCTCGTTCTTTTCCGTTCCAACAGTCACTAGTTGCCGCTGCTTCGAACTGGGTTTTATAAACGTTCCAGGACATCTCTCCGTCAAATGCTGGTACCTTCAAAGTTCTTCCGGATGCGTGATCTAACGGCATGGCCATTTTTTTGGATTGCTCCATTTCTCGCTTCAATTTGTCTATCTTGTGATCTACTTCAACGGTCTGACGATCAAGTTTCTGCTCGATCATTTCTATTCTTGTTGACTGTTTTTCAATCTGTTCAGCCACTTCCAATTTTACGTGTTTTAGCTGGTTTTTGATCTGTTTTAACTCCTCTGTCTGTCGTTCGGACTGTCGTTCGGACTGTTCTTCGATCTGTTCGGACTGTTCCTTGATCTGTTGTTTTATTTCAGTTGACATACTAAGCAGAAGTTCCATCATTTTAGCGGTTGTAAACGTGCCTGTGCTAATTTCATTGTCTTCGTCAGCACCATCAAACTTGAATTCGTCTGGGTTCTTACCTTCGTCAATGAGAGCTTCTCTCAGACGTGCTACTAGTACTTCTTTGTTGCCACTTCGTTTCTGTAGTTCTTCTCGTAGCTGAACTACGTTCAAACCACAGAGTTTTGACATCGTGTTCTTTTTCTACGAGTAGTAATTCGCTGGTCGAAGATCCCACTTCTGACACCAATGTTATAATACTCGCTGTCGTAACCGATTTACGATGCGACGGGTTCAAATCCTTGATTGAATAAAATATTCCAAACAGTTATTAAACTTTATTTACAGAAGAAATCAACTATTATTAGTTATTAAACTTTATTTACAGAAGAAATCAACTAATCGTTTATTTCCAGTAAATTCAAACTAACGCAACAATTAACTTTTAAATCGTTCAAAATCTATCGCTATGACAACGTCAACAAACAAATCAAATATCGCTTTAAATAATTCACCGAATCGCTATTCACAAAATCACGAATTTCACTAATCACGAATATCACTAATCACGAATATCACTAATAACGAATTTTTTGCGACGTGCGCTTATATACTCTTCGCAAGCGTCGTTTCTAGATTCTTCCAGATGGTCCGATTCCAGCATACTCTAGAACGTTCCAGTCACTAGAACATTCTAGAATACGCTAGAATCTAGTGCGTTCGGTAGCACGGTTATAACAATATATATATATATATATATATATATATATATATATATATATATATATATATATATATATATATATATATATCGCCATCACCACCATCGCAAATACCAATTTTATATATATCAACCTTTATTTATGGTCCAGAAATCCAGTTCCCCCGAGGTAGTACGTTGTTTTTTTGCCATCAATTTTTTTGATCAGTTGTATCCATTTCATTTAAATTTAGAGTTTTCATGTCTTGCTCGATTGTTTGCGACCAGGATTTCTTTGGACGGTCTTTGGGAAGCGTGCCAGGTACTTTAACATCTGCATCTGCAAGCTATAGCACTGTTGCCACCTCGTTTGACATGACCAAACCACCGCAGACGGTTTTGCCGGCATTCGTCCTTTATATCAACTAAACCAGATTTTGGTAGATTTGATGTGGTCCTTCAGACTATTTCGTTGCATCCATCGGAGCATTTTCATATCGGTTCTGTGAAGTTGTTGTTCCAGTTTGGATGTCATTGGCCATGTTTCTGCACCATATAACAACACCGGACGTGTCACAGATTTATAAAGTCTTGATCGGAGTGGTAGTGAGATGTCACGCCGCATCAATGTAGAGAAAAGGAGATGACATTTATTCCAGGCTGCACGTATGCGTGCTCGAACGGCAGCTTCAGCTGTTCCAGTACCATCCAGAACATCCCCTAGATATTAAAACGATGTGACTTTCTCTACCTTAATGGCTTCAAAAAAAGTGCTATTTAGAATTTGTTGTTGTGGAATGATGCAAGCAGGACAAACGAAATTGGACACTTTAGATAAAGTACCAATTATTTTTGAACAAAGTTTGTGACACCACTGGTTACACTGCTGACACTTGATTGAATTGTTACCTACACCAGCTTTACAAACTGAGCATCGTGCAGTACCTGTGGATTGAATGCGTTCACCAGTGTTCATTGCTTTGGTTTTGCTGATGTTAACTTTGAATCCATAATCGGCGAGTCTGGTGTTCCAATCTTCAAACATCTGTGTTGCATTCTGCTCAGACGTGGTTGTTAAAACGATATCATCAACATACATTAGATTCAAAATGTCACCAGTGCGTATCGGTTTAGTAATTTCTTCCATCACAGTTATAAATAACAGTGGACTGAGAATCGAGCCTTGGTGAACTCCAACGCCGATGTCAAATGCATATGTGTTTCCAACCGTTGTGCTGACGAGAGTCTTAGTATTCGTATACATTTCCATCACAAGTCGAACAAGATATTCTGGAATGAGTTGTCGACGTAGACTTCACCTGATTGCTTCACGGGGAACTCGATCAAAGGCTTTTTCAAGGTCTACAAAAATGTGTGATAGTTGTTGATGCTTTGCGAGGTACTTCTTCGCAGTTGCCGAAGTATGTAAATTGCATCTATAGTTGATTTTCCCGCTATTGTTGATTGTTTTTACAAATTGATAGTTTCCGATTGTGATGCACGACGTTAATCTTCTCTCAATGATTTTTTCGACAATTTTCAGGGAGTGTTCTAACAGACGTTTACCCAGATAGGATGTACAGTTCAATGGATCACCTTTGCCTTTGTATAGCGGAACTGTCATGCTATAGTTCCATTCAGCCGGCATTGAACAATTTCTCCAGACTTTACGGCGAAATTTTAATAACGTTTGGAAACCTGCAGCACCAGATGCTTTGATAATGTCATTTGTGAGTCCAGAGGGCCCTGCTGTTTTTCCATCTTTCATAGCTTTCAGAGCTTCTGTATGCTCCTCTACAGTGATGTTTGGAATTGGATCTTCTATGGGTAGAACGTCGAAGTTGACATTGATGGGATTTGTTTCATTTAACAGACGGTTGAAGTATATTTTTCACTGTAGATTGATCTCATCATGTTCAAGAACCATCTCATTTTTGTCGTTTTTGATACACAAAGCACCAACTATGTCTTTTTACGTACGCTTTGCTTGTTTTGCTACACTATACAGAGATTTCATTTGTTCCCCTTGCCTTTAGTGAGCCACTCTTTGCACTGTTTTCTTCGAGCCAGTGCAACTTGACGTCTTGCATAGTTGTAATTCTCACGGAAAATTTTATGATCATCAACAGACTTTGATTTTTGCCATTGCATTTCTTGTATGCAGCTTTCTTTTCAGCTATTGCATTTTGTACACTGTCATTCCACCACCAAGTGTCACGTTCATGCTGACGTTTTGTACCAGTTTTCCCACAAACTGTATTTGCAGCGTTTATCAAAACGGTTTTGTAGCTACTCCAATCTGTGTTTTGTGGTTTAATTGTGTTGCGACAATCTGTTGAATTTTTTTTCGATGAATATTGCTTTTTCGCTTCCACGTTTTGATTCTCCTAGGCATTTGTTTAGACTCATGTTTTGACGGTTCGACAACCAGGTCTGTCACAAGGAGTCTATGTTGGGCGACACATAATTCGCCAGGTATAACTTTGACATTTTTTAATAGCATTCGGTGTTTGCTTGACAGCGAAGAAATCAATTTGCGTGGCTAATGGTCCACTTTTGTATGTTATGAGATGTTCCAACCTCTTTCTAAAATATGTATTCAGTAAACAAAACTCGTGACTTTCAGCAAACTCAAGGATGCGGTTGCCATCTTCATTCCGTTTTCCATAGCCAAACCCGCCATGTATGTTGTAAAAACCATCTGTTTTCTCTCCAACGTGGCCATTGAGATCGCCTCCAATCAGGATTGTTTCAGATTTTGGTATTGTTGAGATGGTGTCAGAGAATGCAGTTCAGAAGTCAATTTTCATCTCTTCTGATTCGCCTGTCTGTGGTGCGTATGCAGAAAAAATAATCATTGTTTGTTTTTCTATGCTGGGTCTTTTGATCTCAATTTTCTTGAGTATGCAACTGAAACGTCAGATTTATCTATAGCCTTGAAAATCTCTCTAATTTTGGTTTCGTCGTGTGTTTTTTTATCTGTCACATTTGAAGCAGATGATTCTGGTATTCCGTAGATAACATTTTTTTCCTTTTTTCTCTCCCCTGCATCTCACCAATAGTGGTGTTGGCCACTACTAACTGATCTACAGGCTTTTTTTACGCTTTTTGCACCTCTTGTGACCACATCAACCCATTCAGCACTGATACAGGGTTTTGCTACCTTTTTTGGCAGATTCGAGGTCCGTCTTCAATCTTTCTATTTCTAATAAATTCTTTTCATCTTTTGCCTCCAACCGTTTCACTCGGTCGGTTAGCGAAGAAAGCAGTTGCGACATCTTTCCGCACCATTCGTGCAATCTTTTGGCTGGTTCACCGGCTGTATTGCTCATCTTCGGCCAGTTCTCTTCTATCAAAAATTTCGGATCCGTGTCAGAAATCGAAAACCAAATTTAAAGAAAAATTTGATATGAACAATGCCACGTGAAAATTCAGCTGATAAAAACCACGTGTCAAGACCACGTATCAACTAAACTTAAAAATAACTAAATTATCAACAAATTATATAATATTATAACAAATTATATCAACCATAAATTGTATATTATTGTAACCCTGAAATTTGCAGCAATCAGTACAGTCAACTTTACAACAAAAAATTAGTATTTTGAATTGAATTTTACAATAAATTTACACGCCAAAATTAAAGTCTATTATCGCTTGTGTACATAGATAAATGTTTATAAGTTATAAGGAAATATTCAAAATATGCCTTTTTCTAAAATATGTGTTCAGTAAACAAAACTCGTGACTTTCAACAAATTCAAGGATGCGGTTGCCATCTTCATTCCGTTTTCCATAGCTAAAACCGCCATGCACGTGCTCAAAACCATCTGTTTTTCTTCCAACGTCGCCTCCAATCAGGATTGTTTCAGATTTTGGCATTGTTATAAGGTGTCAGAAAATGCAACCCAGAATTCATGTTTCATCTCTTCTGATTTGTCTGTCTGTGGTACGTATGCAGAAAAAATAATCATTGTTTGCTTTTCTAGGCGAAGCTTGATCCACGTGAGACGTGAATTAATCATATTAATATCCAGTACTTCTTGGTCTAGCCTTTCTTTGACAAAATTCCATCACCATTTTTTTATGAGACTCGCTCGAGCATTTCTGCGATTTCCATGCTGCGGCCAGTCAGTGATCCAACATTGAGTGTTCCAAGTCTTCAAGTATATATATATATATATTGCAGAGCTGGCAATATATTTTACGTTTTGCCCTATATTTGTTTTTTATTTCACTTTTTTTTATTATTCTTTATTATTCTTTAAAAATCAGGATCTGACAGACGCAGAAACTGTAACAACTTGCAAGGCAGTAGAACAAAACAAAACAAATAAGTAAGTAAATAAATACAAAAAGTGAAAAAGAAAAGTAACTGACAATGAAATTTAAAATGAAGTAACGGCAAATTAATAGACTAGATGATGACTTAGTGAGTTAGTGAGGTGATCAATAAATAAAAACTAGATCTGTGAATGATAAAGTTCTAATGAGCATTTATATGTTTGATGGTGAGTTAGTGAGGTGATCGATAAATAAAAATTAGTTATAAGTTAGTATTAATATGTTTGAAGTGTCTTGTGATGAAGGTCTTTTTCTGGGATGTAGATTGGGAGACGACTTGATAGTTATGTTTGCACTGACAAAGATTGTGTGTTGTAGTTTTAATTGGTGGTTGTAGAGGATGGACGACGTGGTTGTTGTTATTTTTTACTTTCTTGAACAGCCTTGAGTCGAGCGTGTTGAATATCTGAGTGACGGTAGGATATGATGCAGGTAGATAGTTGAAGCGAATTAGTTTTTTGATGAAAAATTGTAGTTGCTGAGGAAGGATGATAAGGTAGGTGTCGTCAGCGTATTTGATGATTTGATAACAGCTATGAACAGTTTTGAGAGTAGAAGCATTGATGATAAAGGTAGATGATAAAGGTAGATGATGATAAAGGTAGATGGTCCTAGGACAGAACCTTGAACTACGCTAGATTTAATAGGTAGAGTAGATGAAAGAGTAAAGCTAAAAGAAGTAGAATGACTCCTATTAGATAAAATTTATTATGATGTTGTAAATGTTGTCAGGTAGTGAAAGAGGACTAACTTATTTGAAAGTGAGAGGTGATTGAATGTGTCAAAAGCTTTAGAGAAGTCGAGGGCAATAAGATGAACATAATTATTATTTTTAAGAAAAAATGTTATTATGGAAGTAAGAGAGACGATGGCGGATGTGGATGAGCCTGTAGGGCGAAATGCAAACTGATCTTGTAATAGTGGTTTGATGGATGAATGGTTGAAACATGGATAGATGAATGACCTAACGATGAATTTTTCTAGAATACGTGAGAGTATGGTGGTGATAGATATTGGGCGATAATCTATGGGTATTTTGTTTTAGGAATTGGATGAATTGTGCTGGATTTCTAATGTGATGGGATAAATGAGTGTATTAAGCAGTGATTGTAGAGTGAACATATGGTGCTGGAGATGAATGGAGCGATGATTTGTGGAAACCATGCTTGTATATTGTCTGGACCTGTAACGGATGGGCAAGCCTTCGTTGGCATGTGCAGAACGGAGTATGGGGTAAATTGATGATGTTGACTACTATTGATTGTTGTTGCTTTTGTTGGTGGAATTTTGTAGGACGGGTCGGTTGACATAGAAGCAAAGTGGGTGTTGAGTGTGTTTATTGTTTATATTGTATTTATAAGAAAAAATTGATTACATTTTGCTGATATGAATGCGGACACTATAACAGTTCTAAAAAATATCTATGTACTTTATTTTATTCATGTCGTCGAAGATTCAGGTTCTGGATTTAAACAATTTGTTAATGTGCAAAAGAAGTTAATAAAACTCCAAACGTTTTAGTTTGTTCAATGTATTTCATTGTATGTATAAAAATATAAATATATAATAAAGTTATTCTATTTAAATGCGTAATACTGTTCGATAGATAACTCGGTTTCTGCTTTGACCACCGACTAAACTAATTTCAACGAATATTTATTCAATCGCTAGTTGAATCAATTTTTTGGTAAGATTCGTATTTTTTCTTTATAATTGTTTTTATAACTAATTTTATTCTGAATAATTGTTTTGTATATTTTAGTTGTTCCAAAAATAATTTCAAAAGTTATATTTATTAAATATATGCTATATTATTTTTTTGCAAAAAACACTACAGTTTATTTTTTTATGCAACCTTTATATAGTTAACAATTAAACGCTTTTTTATCTATGCTACTCAAACTTATAGTTCTGCATTATTACGGCCCCGGTCGCACATCATGTTATCGGACGCTAAATTCTATATATTGTTGATTTTCCGTATATGTATATATTCTAGATATATGGCTTGGTTCATATAACTAAAATAAATTTAACGGCCTTCACCCACTTTCAACGGTCGAATAAGGAGCTTACTTTCGGAGGGGAGTTGGAGGGTGATTTTTTATCGTTCGAGTTAAAAGTTACGATCGTATATTTACTAATTACGGAATATTGCTTTTATTTAGAATGTTAAAATTTTAATTTTTTTTAAATTGTTGTTCAGTGTGGTAATTAATTACCTTTATTTGGTATAAATTTAAAAAATAAAATCGACATTACTGAAAATAATTAAAAGTTGAAAAAATTGAGATTCTTTGCATATCCCGGCTTCAACCCATAAGAAAGTCTAGTATATTGGTAAATAGGCCTCTCTTGATTTGCTTATATGGTTGCGAATGAGAATGTTTTCAATTTTTTTTTACTGAATTTATTTGTCATTGTTTATTTGTTTTTGTAAAAAAAACATGGAGGCTTCTAAGGGGGAAAATAAAAGTGATAGATTAAGAAAGTTGGAAGCAGAAAGAAAAAAGTTGGCGAAAGAGAATGATGAAAAACAACGAAGATTGATGGAACTGCAAAAGAAAGAAAAATTAATCAAAGAGGCCGCCGAGAACGGAGGTTTTAACTATTACTTGTTAGACTGTTGTGTAGAACTGTAGAGTGTAGAAGAATGTAGATAGAGTAGAAGTAGAAAGTTTAGTCTTGTGCATTGCAATTACAAGCTCACTTGACTTTGACTTGCACAATAAAGTCTTAAAATGTTAATTAAGTCGGGTTCATGAAATATAAACATTTCAAATGAAAATGAGTTACTTTTATTTATATTAAGGTTAATTTGTTTTTTATTGAGTTTTCAACTTTACCTCTTTTAAAATTAAAATTAATACTTATCAGTATCACAAACGCACGCACACACATATATTATATATATATATATATAATATATATATATTGATATATAATTATAATATATTATATATATATATATAATTATTAAGATGTCACTAAGTGATATTTATGCGTTATATGTAAAGTAAATCTATCGGCATGCGAATTCGCACACCAACCATGAACTTTTAAGCTGCTATATAAGCCGTGCGAATGAAAAATATGTTCAAAACATATTTTTTATGCGGAATATTATTTTAAAAAGTATTTGTAAAAGTTTGAAAATTGAATTGAAATTGAAAATAATTTTTTTTTTAAATAATTTTAAAAAATTTTTTTGTTCATCGTTATTTTAATAATATATCTTTGGCAAAAATTCATTTTTCTTTAGTTGTAGGTGGCGAGGTTTGTGAAGATTTAGTCAATTGTTTTGTTTTATTTAATTTAAATAAAATTAAATTTGCTTTTATATTTCCAAATTATTTTAAAGTCTTAATATCAATGTTTATTAATATGTTATATATTTTTAACATATGTTAATTTTTGTATATTTATCAATAGTTGCTGCATTGATTAGGTGAGTCTGGAAGCACTATGGAAAAATAAAGCCATCTGCTAATTTGAAAAAACTGGTACTGCAAAAATCTGAAAATACTATTAGTAATACTTGAAATAATTAAATATAGTTTATTGTTGTTTATTGATTGGGATAATATTTTAGAAATTAAATTGAAATATTTAATAATGATTAGATTAGTGATAATTTAAATTTTGTTTGTTGTTGTATATTGATAGTGATAATATTTAAAAAATTAAATTGAATTATCTAATAATGAAATAGTAAATTTTTATAGCAAAATTTGTAATGGCTGTTTTAACATTTAGGAGTTCATTGTTAAGCAAATGTTTTGGAGAACAACTATAATGTAGGTGCGTGTGTATTCGCAGAAAATGCAGATAACCGACGCCTTACAGGAGCTACTTCGGAGTAGGCTAAAAATATGTTGGAGGCTGGTGCAAACTCAATGTTTGTAACAAATTTCCTACATCAATGAAACTTTCCTGTAACAAAAAAAATGTATATAATTTGAAGCAAAAAACGAGGTTATTCATTATATATTTTAACATGAATTCCATTACATTTGCATTCAATTATATTTCATGATGCCAGGTTCACTGGAACCCCTGATGAGGAGCTGATGGCTGCACTTGCGTTGCTTGTTGTAACAAGTGAAATTTTAGTTGATGAGAAGGGTACAATCACTTGTCATTTTATATCCTCTTGCTATCAAACGTGACGAAGTCCAGATAAAAGAAAACAGCAACTGTTCCAACAACGTAAACATACGTTAGAAAAAATTGCATGTCTGTGCAGGATCAACTCAGAATTTCATAGGTTTTACCTGAAGAAATGGCCCAAAACTGTGTTCAGGCTGATTGCTTAGCTTCAATTGATTATGCTAAAGAAATATTTGATCCAAGTGCTCAAATGACCATGCTGATATGTCCACCTTGAAACAATATTTTTTGAATGAAGCATGGGCAAAATTAAAAAATAAGATGTGGTCGATTGGACAAAATTTGTATCTCTGTGTTGTGTGTGGACATCAGTCTGGGAGAGACAACCAAACTCGTACTTCTGTTCATGTGTTCAGATGAAGACTATC